AGTTGCTAAATGTTCCTTTGAAACATGTTTTTAATGCAAGAATGTTTGTAAAATACATTCTGGTAAAATAGCGTCTATCTGCTCAAACATATTCCAAAACCTTCACAGCATAATGTGTCTGCTACGCTGTTTCTGTGACTACTCCTATTGTTGTACAGCTCATATGAATGGAAACTTGTAAATTCATAATTTCAGTGAACATCACTAAAGGACACAATGAACTAATAACTTTGTTTTCAGTGTTACTTTATTTCTACAGATACCATTAGAACTGACATACTGACGATAGATAAAAAGTGGTCTGTGAAGCAAGCAAGATGTTTGTCATGAACAACTCCACAGATCACAACCATGTAAAAGACATGCAAAAGCTTGTAAGTTCAGCAGGCAAGGGAATACACAATTGAGAATGGAATTAGTAAAATAATTACAGGCTTTCGATGACTGATTTCTTGGGATATTAAGTAACTGTATTTTGGCCACCTTATCATGAGAAGTTTTCTTTATATAGAATGATTCAATGACAACTAACTTTTTTTTTATACTATGTGTTAGAAAATTGTTCTATTTCTGCTGGAGTAAAATTAATTTTCCTCCTAGTATCTGGTATAGTGCTACATTGTGGATGTAGGATGGGAATAACTTTGATAGCCCACCAGTGTACTAGTTGTTCCTGAGCAGTGCTTATAAAAATTATTGAAGACAATAAATGGTTTACCCTGGAATTGAGACACTCCTGCAGATGGGCATAGTGAATCTCACCTGACTCAAGTGCCTATAATGTAGGCCTATGAATGGGAGGTAGTCACCTGTTTTCCTCTTTTATCTCCAAATGGAGATCCAGTCTATAGAGTTAGCGCAGTTGGCAACAATTCATTTGATCAAACCTTAGGTATTTACTGTGGGGCAAAATGAATCATGACATGGGTCCCAGGCACGCTATTGTATATAGATGTAGGTTTGTTTAGATGGAAGCATGTATCCTGCACAAATCCAAATTTAGTCAGATGAACCTCATTCATACTCACTAGAGGGCTTGTCCCATTCATTCAAGGACATCTCTGAAACCATTCAATGATTAATGGCAAACATAAATATCCATGCCTATTGTAGGCTGTAGTACCTTGCTAGATTTTTTATCAGTAGAAGTAAATAAATCTTTTAACTAAATACGTGCTTTAAACACACACTTTTGAAGAAAACTATTAAGCTTCACCTCAAAAATGCCATTTTAGTTTTTAAGCAACTTTTATAGTAGAAGAAAAAGAAATAAAAAATCGAAGAGCATATTTATTGTTCTCAGAAACAGACTAAAAAGCAGAATTGGACAAAAAAAAATTCACATCAATCACATAGTCTTCACACAAAACAAAAAAGATCTATTACATCAAACAGGACTTTACAAAAAAAATGGCAATGTCTCACAAATGAGTACAAATGCTATGTGCTACTTAGAAAAATAATTTTTTTAGCTTACAAAATTTACATTTTATGTCACACTGAACTATGTAACACTAGCAACTTTGAACCTGCAAAGAGACTATCTCCTGAGATATGATAAACTTGAGATCTTACTTTCATGAGTAGCTTGGAATACATCCCAAGTCAGCAAAAAGTAATGATTGATATTTTTAATACTTCATTTGTACTTAACATTTTGTATTCTGATTGGAGAAAGTATGTACAGATGTTGACACTGAATTAACATATGAACTTTCCAGGCAGAGCCCTAACCAAACTTATACATAAACATACCTTCAGACTCGATGTCAAGGCATCAGTTTGCAGCAACGTACTCAAAGCACAATACATTGCTTTCATCTACTTTGTAATCTAGATGATCTCAGCATTTAGTATTCTGACTGGTATTCAAAGCGAGAGTTGATCCTTGCTTCGCATTGGTATAAATGAGACATAGGCATGCTGAACTCAGTACAGCCATACACAATAAGATCGGTATGCTGGTGTGACGTGAATCAAACCTCATGCATGTTACAGCAACACAAACTTCACAGATTGACAAGGTTCCATGCTCTGGAATATCACGGTAAGAAATTTCTATTCGTCATAAAACTTTGTTCCTAAATGTGTGAGAAATGTTCTGAAAATGCAAATTGTAGGCTTAGTTGTATGTGTATCCATGCAATTTACAAAAGTAACAGCTAAGCGTAATTCATTACGTAGTTTTCAAAACAATGTGTTTTTTCATCATGAAAGATGGCTGCTAGTGGAAAAAAAAAAAAAAAAAAAAAGGAATAAAAACATCTTGGTAAGTTATTTTGGAATGAAACTGTCATATGATAAAAAAGCTAAAGGACTTGCTGCAGAAGTTAGAGAATATCTGACAAGGAGTCAGAGCAGTAAGCCTCAATATATTTTTTTAAAGAATAAAATAAATCACATTATTGAAATGAAAGATACAATGAGCTTCTGCCTATATATATGGAAATTCTTACTTCTGGTACTTTATTAAGAACTTGATTTTATTCAAAAACTAATGTGAAACAAAACATTTAGCAGTGAGTGTGAAATACAGCTGATACATCTTAACAGGTGAACCATTATTTGAAAACACCATAGTGGCCAACATTAGAGTGGGCCAAAAAGGCGAACAACTCTGAATATCACAAATTTCATAATTTTCTACAAAAGCTATTTTAAGTTCAATACTTTTCATTATATGCAAGCTACTCCAAAAGTAATGACTCCTATAGGGACAGTCTGCCAAAATGGCATCTGTCATAGAAGTCCATATGAAGAAAAGCTGTGTCACACTGCTTGCTGAATATTATGGTGTCCAAACAGTGGATGTGAGCACAGTGAGGTGATGGGTGTGTGTTTCAACTGTGGACACAGTAATATGGAAGACAAAACACATTCTGGACAACCATGCATAGCTGTAACACCATGGAATGAAGAGTGTCTCAATCAGTTCATTCTGTGAGAAGTGTTGAATTACAATCAAGGAACAGTGTATGGAGGTAAATATCATCTTCAATGCGTTGGAAATGATGGTGGCAACATTGGAATAATGCAAAATTTGTTCCAGGTGGGACAAATGCTCACACAGGAACAGAAAGAACACCATGTGTAAGTTTGTCAGAACCTATTGAACCAGTACAAGCCTGAAGATTACAGTATATATATACATGAAGCCAAATAAACTTCAAATCCTAATTCTGAGAATTTTTGAGGAAAATGCTAGTTTAGAAAAAAAATGAGATAGAGCTGAAGTATTGCAAACATTTAGTCTGCTAAGGAAATATTTTAATAAAATATGTATTTGTTAGTATGTATTTGTCTGCTCACTAGATCAACACATATAGTAGACTTGGAGATCTACAAAATGCAGTGAAAATATACCTTGAGAAAATATTCCTTCATCCTTTCCTTAAACTCATCATTAAACACTAACTTCACTGATATTACAGATGACTCTGCTAGCTTCAGTCATCTGGATTTCAAAGCACAAAGGGTTAATTTTCTGTTAGATCAGTAATGTTTTACAGTGTATGATCGTACGTGTTTATGCATGTCTATGACTGTAAGATATGTACGTAATTATGTGAATGAGACAATTCATATAATGTCTGTACAGCCATTAAAAGTCTGAACATACCTTTACCATTTGGTAATCAGATTTGGAGGAATCCGCAATATCTTTGGTTACTTCAGCAATATCAGATTCAGCAAGCTGCCTCTCTGGTACATTTTAGAGGAATGAAAAATAGCAATATGTTTATACAGACACACAAAATAAAACCCATGAGACAGGAAAAGTAAGAAGAGACAGATACACATTTTTTTCGCATAGATGTTCCTTTTCTCTGCTGAAAGTTGAATTTATATGGGAACATAGTCAGTGAGCCTTTTACATTAAATCAGGGGATGGACTTCTTGCTGAATTGCTGGAAAAGGTCTGGAAATAATCACATGCTGAGGAATTTCATTCCAGTATACCAGTCTCCATTTCATTTGCAGGTAGGAGGTTTAGAGGTATCAAACTGACCTTTCTGACTTTAAACCAGTACGGAGCATCTTGCACACATTCAATTCATTGGAAGCCTGAGATTTTTGTAAAGTCATTTTACAGTGAACTGCAGCAGCAACTGTGGACTGGGAAATATGATGCAATATGTCCACTGACACGTGTATTAGATGCCAAGGCAACCTGAGTTTGAGAATTTCCCAATCAAAATGTTACATCACAAGATCCACTTTGTTTCAGTTTTAGAATGCTAAGTGGGAAAGGCACTTTATTTTATTTGAATTAAATGAAAATAAAATATCTGGATGAAAATGACTCATGCAGTAATTAACTTAGTTAGGAGTGCTTTTAATGAGGTATGGGGATTAGCTGGTCTTTTAGTTATCCCTGAATTAAGCAGGAACTGGCGGCATGAAATGATAAAACAGAGCTCCAGTGACTGATTTTTTCTCACACTCTCAGGGGAAAACAAAACAAAAACAAAAAACACCCAGCATTTGCTAGTAAGCACATACAGAAATTTCAACTTCAGAAGAGATTCACCTTCAAAAACAGCATTACACAGAATGGATGCCCTTCTATTACATACAGGCTAAATGCCTATTTGTTACTTTCTTCCACTAAGGTAATAGCAAGTTTGAAATCTGAACATCTGATACATTTATTAAAATGCATCACACCAGCCAGCACTATTTATGAAATTTTTTCAAGTCTGATATTCAGTCTATATTGCACATAAGAGGATTTCCAAAGTACAGGAGAAAACTAAGCAAGTTTCTCACAATAAGAGATGACTTGAAAAGGGATAGGTAGATTTTTTCAGGGGCTTCAAAGACAGTTTATATAAGGCAGCCACTCTCGTGAAGTTTCAGAAATGACTCTCATTCTGGAAAAATGAACAGTTTCCTGACCTGGATACTTGATTGTTCTGTTTTCACAGAGATTTTTTTACCTATCTCTCTGGTGAAGACAAAACAAACAACTCCATGGTTTCTGATGGATTTACTGATACTCTGAGAGTCAAAATACATGACAAAAAATCTGCAAACTCCATAGTCACAGCTGTTTGGATGAGATTGTGTTGTCTGTGCTGGACCTAGCACTGAAGGCCTCTTTAAAAATGGTGCACATATTGAACTGCGTAGATGAAATAGCTTATGCCAAAGATGCAAACTGTTCTCTTGGCCAGCAGTAAAGCACAGCTGATGCTGATCTTTTTCCACAGTAAGTCCAAAAGTGGGTTAGTGGTGGTTTCTGTGAAAAGCCTATTGCCAGGACGTAATTTGGGCTGACTTCCCAGATCAGTGCTTATTTAACAAGGTGAGTGACACAGAAATCTACGTTATCAGAATGATACCATGTGACCATCTTTAGCAAATTTCAGTATTACTTCTCAGAAATATTTTAGATATCAGCAACTGTTTCTACTGAGGGTAATTTGAAGAAATATACTTCGTAATAGTTGATTTTTTTGTTCCACTGCATACTTCAGCAGATCTCCTAAATCAGTTTGTAGCCTTTTCTTCTGCCTGAAATTAATAAAAATTCAGCATTACTGCAACAGTACTTATCCTTTATTACTTTCCATTACAGACTCATAGTAGATTGAGTAATAGCAATTAAAACATCCCAACAAACTTAGATAAATTTGCTTTTGCAGGAGGAATAATCATTACAATTAGGCACCATGTGATCTGAGGGTAGCTTAGCAAGTAGGCTTTATTCTAATAAACAAATAAGAGTGGCAGAATTCACATTAAAAGAGATTATGTTAGTGGCAACAACTGCCTTCATAATTACTGTCATTCACTGGGCATATCAACTACCAAAATTGTTAATGTGGAGTAAGTGTAGAAATGCTTTTTGACACCCTAGTGCAATGTAGATGACAGATGAGAAAAGCAGTCTAAGATAAAAACAATTCTGATCTGAAGACAGATGAAAGCAACAGATGACAAAAGAAGAATCACTGTGCCTACTGAAGAAAAAATACATACTGAACAGTCATTTGCCTAAATAAAGATAGCAGAACTAAACCTAAAACAGGTTTATTTATGCAGCTCCTGTATTTAAATATAGTATCTTAATGAAAATACATTAATAATTGATTTTCAAGAATATTTAGCTCTAAATAGTAACAAGAAGGTGCCTCCTTGGTACTAAAAAAAATCATTACCACATATTTTCTCACATCATATGATATCAAAAATTCTTAAGATATTAAGGCAAGAAAACAGGTATCTCCTTCTTACAGGCTGAGTAAGGACAGATTTGCAATTTCAGCTTTGGAAACATGGCTGCTATTGTTGTTAGTACAAATGATTAATGCTGAATGTTGCTGAAGTTCAACCACAGTAACCTCTTTCATTTTTGTTGTCAGCATTCCCAGAGACATTAGGTTACAGATTTCTGAAAGATCGAGGTTATCACATTCTGTTCTGCTGCACCTCTGTATACAGCTCTAATATGCATTTCAGATTTAAAATCTCACTTAGTTCTTTACATAGAAAAGCAACACACTCCTAACAGCTCAGTTATGCTTCCAGTAAAGGGCTGACTTCAGTACTGGGAATACAGGCCTTAAAGAGGCACAGATATATTAGGAATGCAGTTTGAATGTGAGGCGATTTAGAGAATGGATTTTGGAGAATATAAGAATAGTATTTTCATTGTTCTATAGAATTTCATCTTCAGCTGTCAGTGAGACAAATGAAAAGACTAATAATGTGACTGAACTCTGAATATTCAAGGAATACTTTCACCATCACCAAAACATGGCTTTCACGAAAATTTTGAGAAAAATAAGAAAATTGCTTTGTTTTGCTTCGTGATTCAGTTTTGCTCTACTCCACTCCACAAAGGGATGAATACTCCTTGTTACACTGAGATCTATTTTTAATTTGAAGTGTATATAATACAAATCTACTCTCTTGAATATTTAGTAATTACCTTCTCAAAAGTAATTAAGATAAATACTCTTATGTTTCCTGTAAATTATTAAAAAACTGAAGGATATTAGAAAATGTGAAGGTTAAGTGAAAATTATTCGATGCCAAAATAAAGGCCCAGTGCATTTCTAAAAGCCCTATACTGAAGCCCTGTATTCCAGAACAGCTCTATAAACGTGGTCTTATCTGATTATAGCCATTATTTAATATATACATACAAAGTTGCCTGATTAACCAAATACTAAACAGAACAAAGAAAAAACCCCACAAATTTAGGTGGGGTAGGACATTTTTTACGTTATTGAAAACTGCTGTTTTAGGAAAGAATGTAGGAATGAGTCACCAAAGGGTTAAAATCCATTCTGATAATCAGAAAGGACAGTAATTTTTAAGATATGACATATACAGTATGCTTTATACAAAAACAATCTGGTTTTCTACTTTAAAAAATAAAACTGGTCAAAGGAATATTATTTCAGGCCAGTATGGAAAAAATATTGTTGCTTAAACCACAAAGGGACAGTTTCACATAATGTCATTAAAGGAACTTTAGCCTTCAGTAGAAAGGAAACAAAATTCACTTTGTAATATGAACCTCTATCAAAGGTGGAAGAGAGACAAATATTACATGCTATCTGAACTGCCATGCCAAGAGGGTAAATTTAAGAAACAATTTCCCAGCTTTGGAAACCATAACCCCTCTCATTAATGTGTGTGTGTGTGTGTGGTTTGATTTCTTTTCTTCTGTTCCCTCAGCCCTTTTACAAAATGATAAAGAAGGAAAAAGAACTCTACTGTAAACCCAATCATACAGTCAAAGGCAAATATACTGAGCACTAACCTTACTAAATTTATTCACCTGCAGTTTTAAAAAATAATTCACAATTTTATGGAACAGCAAGGAAGATCAGACTGCTTATCCATCATTGTTAAACACTATAAAGCAGAAGTGATGCTGCTTTAAGGAAAGACATCAGATTTGAGTTACAAGTGATGAACAATGTACAAATACATAAAATGGAAAAAGCAATGAATATCCAGATTTTTACAAATACCTTAAGAAAAAGAGAGGATGTTATTTCTAAACATATTGCTTTTCAGCTGAGACATTCAAGTTCCATTGATTTTCCAGCAAGTGATTTACATCAAAAAACATTTCAGCTTCAGTAAAGTGAGTAGAGCACACATCTTTATCCATCAGCAACAGACTCTTTCCAAAATGATATACATAGCTCCCTCCAAAAGTAATGCCTCCTGTTTATTTTCATGGAAACTACAACAAAGATCACAATGACACTATTTCATAGAGGAAATTCTCAGCAATAAAAGACTATTCTTCAACACGGTCACCACCATCAGTCATGCATTTTCATCAGCAATGAACACGAGCCTGCATGTCATACTCACAAAAACCTGCACCAGTGTAGGTGACCCACAGTAGCTGTCACTACTGCTGAAAAATACCACCCACTGCCTCCCTGTGCTCACATCCACTATTTGGTCTCTGTGAACTTTCAAGAAGCATCCATGAAAATGAATGGATGTAGTTTTTTCTCCATGAAGGAGTCCCGTGACACCCCTTTACTTCACCCACACTTCCATGTCAGACACCATTCTGCCCTTCAGCAGAATGGAACTTCAGCAGAATGCCCTTCAGCAACATGGAATGGAATATTGGTGGAAAGCTTCAACATCTACTGCCATTTCACCAATATCCACTTCTGACATTATGGGCCAACATAATAAAATAGGAGGCATTACTTTCAAACCATCCCTCAGACTTAAGAGAGCATGATTTACTGTTTTATAATATATTTTAAAATGACTTTTCAAAATATTTTTGTCATAATTTTTAAGTACTATAAAATCTGCAGACGTTCTTGTTTTCTAATGTTTAAACAGAAGAAAAAAAAAACACTTTAAACATTTCTAACTGTGCTCTGATCTAATTAAAAAAATAAATTACAAATGTTGGATATACCATACACTTGGTTTAGTTACTGGGTTACTCTGGCCTGAGTTAAGCATAAATTCATCAGGTCCATAGCCTTTGTAGACACTGACAGAAATTGGATTCTATTTGTCCTGCTTTCTCCAGAAGAGATTATTTGGCTATTTGTTTGTCCTGCCCTTCCATTGCTGTTGAGATGAGAAGAGACGGATGTGACTGCTTTGCTTTCTGAACCTTTTGAATTAACAGACGTATAAAAAGTCAATGACAACATCACAATTCATAGCATTATACACACGTGAAAGGTAAATAAAACTTTACAAAATAAATAAGAAAAAAATCAAGTCCATAGAAAATGAAAGCAAAATTATTATTTTTTTTCTCATTTCCTTCTACAATTTTGATATTCTCAGCAAGAAGTTCTGTTTGAAACAGACAGAATCCATATGGACTCTGTAAAGCCTATAGAGTGCACTGGGATGGCAGAAAACTTTAGAAACTTAAAAAGAAAAAAAAAAGACCTGTTTTCAGGTGGCACATAATGACCTGAGATGCCTATGGTGCTAAAAAACTGTGTTTTAGAGAAACACTTCCTAAGCATGAAAGAAGTGTACAAAATAATTATTGCAATGGTATTCATGTTACTACAGTCCTCTAATAGATTTGGCAAATTTTTAAGGCACATCTGTAGTGATTCAATCAGAAGCACTAAAAAAAAAATGGAAAATAAAATCAGGACCACCAGAAGAACTGCTATTTCTTTTGACAGCAAATTCTTCTGTGATGTACTGCTTGAGATCACAGTAATGCAGAATTGTACCATTACTGTTTAAAATAGAATCATCCAAACAAATACAACCATGCAATACTATATTTCCATAGCATTTTATATTCTGCATGACATGTCTTTTCTAACTGAGAGGAAAACAGAATAAATAAGTGATCATTAAGCCCTGCTAGTAAAACTTTCACAGTCACTTAGCAATGCCCTTCTGTACACTTGACACAGATGAGCTGAGATTCAGGTGCTATTGAGTGCTTTACCAGAGGTCCCACAAGAACAAATTCGCCACAGCATCTGATAAAACTATTCAGAAGAATAATTCTAAACAGCTCACAAGTGACATATGCTGAGCTTGAAAACATGATATGATTTTGAGTAAATTAGGCTTTAATATTTATTGCTTCTTTCATAAAAGATTGTTGCAAAGTGAAGCACTTAGATTCATGAATGTACTTTTATAATACTGTATAATGACTCAATAAATATTAGGACAAACATTTTTTATGAATAGTTTTGATTATTAATAACATTATTAAATTATTTTTAAATAACACATCAGCACAAGTCCTGTACATGGGTAAATAAGCTCATATCAAAGATTAATGCCATAGTTCTTTAAATTCATAATATTTCAGGGATAGAATAAATTTTGTTTAGAACTGCAGAGCAAAATGCAAAAGAATATCATAGTCCCAGAAAACCTTTGGTGTACAGGTTACAGGAGCTGATCAGAGTCTCTTTTGGGGCTCTTCATTGAAGTGTTCGGCAATCATTGAATCATTACGGATGTTTCCTCCTACAGCGGATGGAATTACCAGTTCAAAAAAAGTCTTCTGAGTTTTTGTAAAATGTCCTACTGCTTCCCTCTTTCTGCTTGCAGCTTCATTTCATTGATGGCAACATTAACAGAATCTTCTTTGGTAGCATTTGTATCAAAAGGGACTACTCTCTGCATATGTGCTAAAAAATCAGACAAAAATAGAAACAAAAAAAAAATCACAACAATTAAACACACTCAGACAAAAATCAGAAAAAGACATTTTGCAGAGCATGACTATGTTTCATGACGCAATAATATATTTTACAGAGCAGAATATATGTCATTAATAAGTATTCAATACTAGTCATGTTACAAATTGACAAAACAGACTCATTTTTTCAGAGGAATATCCAAAGCTGTTTAATACAGATATGGACAACATATCTTTCTTATACAAAAACAAAACAAAACAAAATAAAACAAAACAAAAACACAACTTAAACTTCTGCATTTTCTGAAATTCAGAACTTTTATAACATCCCATTTCCATCTAATTTTACAACACTTTCATTTATATAAGACAAAACAAACCACTCAGAAAATTCTTGAGGAAATGTCATGTTCAATAGCATAAAGTCAGCAAGTGACACTGAACATTCACAGGATGCCATACCATGTATATTCCTTTGCAACTGGCCACATATAAAATGCTAAATACATTATACTGGATCAAAATGTAGAAAATATAAATTGGGAAACCATCTTATAATAAAGTGCTGGATGTAAAAATCCAAATATCCAGACAACTGGCAATTATTTGACAAAGGTAGAAATGAAGGGAAACAAAGTAGATGTTACATACAATATACCTTTCTTCAATGGCCTCTCCTCTACCATATGAATGTAAGAATAGTGGTACTTCTTGGTTGTTTATTACAAATACCAAAGGACAATTTTTGAAGAGTGCAGTAAAATTGTAGACATATATAACCATTTAGTAGGGATCATGTCCTCATACTTTAATTAAGAGGAGTGAGATGTTCTCATGTCCAGATGGAAAATAAAATCACTGTGTTTGTGACATCAATAAAACAGTGAGTAACCATTTTTGAGCATAAAACCCTCAGCGTTTGTCCAGAATTATACTACTGTAGGCTCTTTCAAATTAAGAAAAAAATGAAAAATCATACACAGAATTGCTGTAGTAAATGAATTTTCATTTTACAGTTTCCAACCATCCCTGCTTCTTACCATTAAGCAACACAAGATTTTGCTCTATAGCAGTGTCTTACAGCATCATGACATTATAATGCCTTTTTAATTTTAATTACGCTACTTATTTATAAATCTCAATTCAAATTGTCTTAAAAGCTTATGAGAAAGTATACATAGAGGAATAAAAAGAGGCATCAGGATACATTGCAGGAGTTAATTGTCATGGCAATAAAAATCAACATTTAGGACAAATTGCTTTTATTCAACCATGATATCAATTGTACTATAGACCATGTCAAAACAAGAGTATTGTTTATCACCAGATCCAAAGAGTCAGAGAAGACTGTGATCCTAGTTACAGATTGGGAAAACTGGTGGCTATTTTATTCTCCATAAAGTCATAGCTAATGAAGCCCTGGAAAATGATTTCCCAAAAACAACAGACAGCCAGAAAGACATGTGGCTGCTGGGAAACTATCCAGGCTAAAGCCTTGAAGTGATGAACTGTACAAAGAGAAAGGCAGGATCCAACTTTCAAAGCTAATGTAAAGCATCTGCAACTCCTGGGACTTTCATAATATAAAATTATAGAAAATTACAGTGGTCATGAAAAACAGTTTCTGAGGATTATTCTTTAGATAACAACCAGTATTGAGTTTTTAGACCAACTGTTTGGTCTGATAATATTGCAGACTGCAAGCGGTATCTAATGAACAGTTCCTTGTATAAATTATGTTGTAGGTTACACATCTTCCTTTTTAAGAACATGACTATAGAAATAACAGCTAATTTCCACAACATTTTTAAAACAGCTTTTTTCTTCTTTTTTTTTTTAAAAGAAAAGTCATTATAGTTGTAGAAATTGTTCAGGTAGAAAGATGTATACTAAAGAAAACAGAATGCTAATTACTTTTCCTTTCACCTGCATGCTGAATTGGCAACACTGTATTACATACATAGAGAGAGATGCAGATAGTTTTTTCCTTACTTATTCTTTCATATTTTTTTCCTTTCTTCAACCAATTTTGAACCTAAATCCCGGGTTTCCCTCCACAGATAAATGAGAGTATGTTAGATGCATCTGCTCTCCACCCTGATGCTCTTTATATGTCACAGAAAGCTCATGTTAGGAAGTAACTCTTTTGTACCAACTGACTATAATCTGTAAGTTTTCATATGTCTAAGAGAGTAGGGATGCACTAATAACACAAAGGCTTGCAAATTGTTCTGGAAAATGAATTGAAAAGAAAGGTCTTTTATTTCTGAAGTAAGATGAATTAGTCATAGCAAATAGGTGATGACACATACAGGTAGATTTATTAAAAGCTACAGGAGGTTTGGGAGCAAAAGACCTCGATCTAGACTTCACTGTCAAAGCCTCAAGTTATAATTAATTAATATCATTACTGAAATTAAATTTCATGGAGTTTATGTGACTAAGATGAGTGAAGTAGCTGATTTTATAATTTAACGCTTACTAGTAAGCTTACTAAGAAAAGCTCCCAAATGTTAGAACCGCTGCAGAATTTTCACTTGAAACTATAGCAACAACTTTAAAATAATCTTCAAAATTTAACTGGTAGAGAAGTGGTTCAGCATAAAACATTCAGTCACTAAAGAGTGTTCAGGGAGTAACTCAAATGCACAAAGGGGTGCAAAATATGTGATGAAACAATGCCTCTTTTAAGGGCTTTTTCAATTTATGTCTTAGCCAAGAATGCTCAGCAAGTAGTGCAACTTTAAGAGTTTGGTAGGAGCATCTTATCTAGAGAATAAGATAGAAAAAAGTTTTAATCTTACTAACAGGCCTCTACTATAGCATTAAGTCTCATTAAAGCTACAAAAGCAATGTGGGCAAAGGTGATTACTTTTAAAATTTGAAAGAAAATAATATTTAAGCAAAATAATAATTGACTGCATACACTACAGCATTCAACCCACAGCAGCAGGCCTGTTCTTCATAATAATAATACTGTCTCCTGTTTTAAGAAAATGCCTGAGAAAGATAATCTATGTTTTATCCAAATACAATCCTGTTTCAGTTTCAAAACTGTAACCCACCATCATGCTCCCTTGTGAGGCAGAACATCTTTAGCATTTCTAAGTCACTGGCATTAAGTCTATCAAATATAATGCTCTTTGCTAGAAGAAAACTGAAATAGAATGTAGTAGAACAGATTAGAACAGAACAGCCTTAGTTGAAATGGAAATTATTTTCCTTATTCAATTCATTCCTTTAAGTGATCGGCCATATAAAAAATTAAGTCTACTTTTCTAACAACTATTCTTTAATCGACTAATTTGACCATGTTAGAAATATGTTGCACTGGAGCTTACTGCACCTCATCCAGCACCTCTATTCTTACAAATTGCACTTTTACAACAATGCTCCTTCACCCACCATGTTCTCACTTAGTGTACCCCAATTGCAACATATGCAGTTTCTCCATATGTTCTGCATTCTTCTTCGTCTCAGAAGTGGAAGAGCAAAAACTGAGATCCAGCCCAAAATAAATCCAAAAGCACTCACATCCCATCAAGTTTCATTCAGATTAAGCAATATAAATATATTTCTAGTATTTTGTGAGCATTTATGTCTTTAAATTTCAGCAAGTTTTTGTAGTGGAATTACAGAATCAGGTAGCTGTTGAAGTAGATCTTTTGGAGATGAACTAGATCAACATGCCTGCAAGGTATGGTTGTCCTTTTTTTAAAATATACCCTTAACAATTGAGCTGTACTTTAACTTGGATAGACATTGACAGGTATGAAAGAAAAATGGGAGAACAACATTGAGTCAGGGGAAATTGTTCCTGAAGTACAGATGAGATCGAGGCTTTCACCCATATGCTTTGTTTTCATTGTTGTTATTCAGTAAGTTCTGCAAAAAGATATTTAATCACAAGCTACAGAATTTGAGAGGAAAAGAAAGCAACTGTCTTCAGCCTTACCAGATCAACTCAGGACTTACTGTTGGCGAGCAGTGATTTACTGCAGTATTCATTCCATGACAAAGACGTTTGGAAGTGCAGTGAAGCCTGAAATATGACTTTCCATTACACAGATTGCACTAGGTTGCCAAAGCACAGACTGGTTATATTGAAAAGAAATGGAAGGTAGTATCCTTCAGAATAAAAGTTTTTGACATCCTTGTGCTGATATCTGGTATGCTGAGAATTGTATATATACACACATAGGTGTGTGTGTGTATGTATATATATATATATATGTATATATATGTTTTCTCTAGGTATACTCATTTTTTTCTAAATCCGTTCTGACACTCATGGAAAGGTATTCTTGCACGAGATAAAGATCTAATATATCCTATCTTTTACTGCACAGTTCCCATCTGTATCAGAGATCAGGTAACCTCTAATTACCACAAGTTCTAAACATGCACTGGAAAGAATTGTTAGAAAAGGCAAAATTAGTGAATTCAACTCTAATTGTTAAGCTGCTGCACAGTCATGAGACTTAGAACATATCTTTAGCCTCTGAGAAGATGCACAGCTTACACATGCATGATTGTTCATGCAGAGATTGCAAAACTAAATTCTTTGGCAGAGCTCTGGCTGACAAAGATACATATTTTATTTTCCAGCTAAAAATAAAGGTATAATTATGATGTTACAAAGTTATTCATGGACAGACATCCTTCTGGTACCTAAAGCTGAAATCTAGAAGACTCTTCAGAAAGTTCTAGCACTTTTTGTTAATACTCTTACTCTTTCCAGTAAAAAAGCTTTAAAAGAGGAAAATATATTACCTGGTGTGGATTTTTTTCCCCATGAACAATACTTACAGCTAGAATCTGAGAGCAGTGAGCTGGACAAAAAGTTGTTTTGAGTTTGCCAACTAGAAGAAGAAGCAGCCACTTGTATACCAGAAATTTCAGCATCCATTTCCACATGGCTGCTGCATCCATCCTATGGCCAATTAAACAAAATACTATTTCATATCATTAAGCTGTAAAATTTTACAAAATACATGCAGTTACACATAGATATACTCTGATTTCACACATTCTGGAGAATAGTGATTTGAATTCTCAAACTACGTGTTATAATAGATATTTGCTTATGAATTCTGTAGGCAGAGAATAGGCTTTATCACTGCAAAATCTTTGAAAATCTTAGGCTGAGAAAACCATTGGAAGCACCATTGTTACTATCATCAGCTGCAGTAATGTTCTTTTCTCCGTCTACCTCACATCCACAGTGCAAGGCAAAGCATATTGGCAAGACAGGCATCAATAAATAATAAAGTTTCCACCAATGAAAGGTCTACATCAATTTACTGAAGTTCAACAATTTAGTAATAATAAAATTTCAATCCATTTTCCGTGCCACTGAGGAAACTCCAATTTCATTGATTTTTCATATCAAAGTACCTGAACATGTTTTTTTCACTTTTTTTCTTTTAACCATTTAATAAAGTTTGAAGTCCAATGTTAATATTTATGGCTAGACCTGTATAACATAGCTTTTTAGTGAGAAAAGTCATTTGGTTTGCAAGCTATGAAAAGAAGGTGTTTTCTAAAAGCCTATTTAAATCTTTATTACTAATGCAACAGGTCCACAGTTGTAATCAGTAGCTTCTAATATAAGATTAAAAGCCTGCTTTGGTATCCTAATTACTCAGTTTCTTGAAACAAGAACAGATAATAATGCACAAATGCATCAGTATATAAACCACACAATTTTGCTTCTGAATTCTTATGATAAACACCCCGAGGGAATTTCTTTAAAATTTCAAATTACTGTTACTACTGATGCTAAGATTTGAAAACTGAACAGGAAACAAAATAAATTTTAATGTTAATTTAGAGATTTTTTTGTCCCATCAGTGAAGAGATATTTACTCATATTAAGAATAATAGTAATTACATATTAATCCCCCTATGTGCTGATGAGAGACTTAGTGCACAAAATGTACACAGCACAACAACTTTAAAAGAAAATAAAAATTTAGTCCTTCCATTCTGCTTCCAGAAATGCTTTGTTAGAGTAGAGCTTTTAAAAAAAACAAGGCATGTATCCCAGAATCTGCTTTTTCTTTACAGAAATTTGCATTTACATAATGTACATCTTTCTCACATGCTTTTTTTATACTTACATGCATTTAACTAAGTGACCAGTTGTTTTTAGCAGGGAAAAAGTCCTAAAATATTTTAATCTGTTCAAAATAACAATCTTTAGGTTTCTTCTAGCTTTTTCTTTTGATTTTGCATTAGTTGGTATTCTTTACTCCTTATTTTATTATTACTGGTTATATTTACCTCTTTTTTCCCCAATTTCTTCTTTAGCTACTAACAATGATCTCATTAGTTGAAAAATCACCCTCAACATCTGACGTCCTTTATTAGCTGAAACGTTACACTTTAACCTATAGGAATGAGAATTATGATTTTGCTGGCATTCTAAGCAACAGGTATTTCACAGCCACCTGTAAAGACTACTGAGAAGTAGAAAGATAGAGTGGGGACAAAGGTAACCATAAGGATGGAAGAATAACTGCTTTTAGGGCAACTCTCACACAGTTTTCCTTTTTGGTCCTTAAATTGAAAAGAGGCTAAATATGGGATTAGCTAATACTTCACTCAGATTAGTGTCTTCAAGCAATATTATCTACCAAATATCTGTCAACTTTACACAGGAGAAATACAACACTATGTATAGAGCATGAATCAAAACCATCACAAACAATGAACTTTGATGTCCTCCAGACTACACTCTTTCACCAATCAATTTTAGAGACTCCCTACTAACTAAGAGTAAACACTTTTTCAAAATGTAACAACAATGCATTTGAGTCAGTTCCAAGGGAGGGTAAGAAAGGCTAGCATTAAAAACGGATTTTTTTGACTAAGCCAGCCTGATCACTGCAATCAGATTAGCACCCGTCTGTTACTTGTTTTTGAACATTCTGTTCTATTTGTAACAGCTGTGACAGCAAAGAGGACTGTACGTCATGTAAAAAAACAATTAGGACTGACTAAAAGGAAGTCATTAAATGCTCCTTCTTGTCTAAAGAAAGAGGAAACATCATTTTGGAATCAGCCTTTCACAGATTTTGAACACATCATATCAGTAATCTCAGTCAGTTTAGGGCAATAATATTTTCTGTTTTAAGTTGACTGCATTCCACTTAGATTTTCAATATTTTCCAAATTTCAATGGCCACTGAATTAGTAACTCTTGTGTGACGGCAAAAGAAATTCCAGAAATTGCAGACTATTAGTAGCAATAGTCTGAAAGTGAATCTGCCCTGTTCTTTTCATACAGAAGAACACGGTTCAGGTAGCTTCACACTGTTGTCTTACAGCAGCGACTTGTTCAGCTAAAATACTCTATTTTATCTTTTCCTCTTGTTAGAAAACCTACTGTTATGTAGGTTAATATTTTAGAAGAAGACTGCTGTGGAGGAAGTGGCAGCACAAACAGCTTGAAGTTTTTTTGTAACATGGGGCATGATCCTACATTGGGATCCCAACTGCCAAGAGACACACCCGACACTGTCAATGAATCCTGATTGCAATAGCAGAAAATCCTCAGTTCTCAATTCTGAACATTTATTTCAGCATTACTTGAACATCAACGTTATTTATTACTTTCTTACATTACTTGAATTTCAACGTTACTTTTAGCAAATCACTTCTCCTCTGCCTCAATTTTGTTTATGTATGAAATAGACATGACTGTAAAGAATACAGAGATGAAGTACTAAAAAAAAACAAACCAGTATATGCAGTCTACAAATTAATTAAAAAAAAAATAATTCAATAGCTCTCTTCAACCTAAAAGGACAAGGGAAAAGCCAACAAACCAATCAAAAAACTGCAGACACAATTTGACAAAGCAATGGTACAAGCTAAGGCTTGAGAATAGTAAAATACAGATTTGCTTTTCCATGGAATTTTTAAGTTTTTTGGAATATTTCAGTTTATAACAAGGACAACAAAATGTCACTAAATTTTACAACTACTATAGCAGTTACATAAAACTTTGCCAGTCCAGGAGAGAAACAGCAAGATTCACATACATTTTTAGTCTGTGTTTGCATCATGAGTTAATATACGTTAAATAACCTTATGATGCTGACTGAAAGCAACCACAAAACCGAAGTGTAGTACACACACTTACCTTGAATTGTTGGACTCGTTGTTTTGAGCCTTCCAGCTGCTGCTGCAGAGAAGTCACTATTTCTTTATACTTTGTATACCTCTCCTCAATCATCTCCCTCCTGCAATGGGACTCCTAGAAATGCATTGAAATATCTAAATGATATTGTAATTTGAAAATCAGTTAGTAGAAGTTGGCTGGCTACTGCATATATGGGTATCATCCAGGATTTTCCTCCATGCGGAAAAAGAACTACATCTATTCACATTTGTGGACGCTTCCTGAAAGTCTAGAGACCAAACAGTGGGTGTGAGCACAGCTGAGGTAGTGGGTGATGTGTTTCAGCAGTGGCAACAATGAAGTGAAAGACAAACCTTGTTCCAGACAGCCATGCACAGCTGCCAAACCATGAAATAAAGAGCACGTCAATCAGCATCTCAGCAGAAATTAGCTTATTTGACCAGAGAACTGTGTATGGAGCTGAATACTGTCTTCAGTGTTTTGGAAATGATAGTGGTAATGTTGGAATATCACAAAGGTTGTGCCAAGTGGGTTGCACAGATGCTCACAGAGGAACAGAAAAAACACTGTATGCAAGTTTGTCACAGCCTATTGAATTGACATGAAGCTAAAGGTGACAGTTTCCTGAATTATGTCATTATCAGTGATGAGATGCGGTGTCACCACTATTATCTGGAGACAAAAAAGCAGTACGTGAGGGGCAACATGTGAATTTCCTGTTGAAGAAAATGTTCAAGATGCAGCTGTAAGGGTGTAAAGTGATGTGCACTGTCTTTTGCAATAAGAAAGGGGTGATCCTTCTGGATTTCCTGGAATTCAGACAAACCATCAACGGTCTGCTGCACTACGAAGCTAACTGAGCCGACAGCACAAATTTCCAGAGTCAGGACAGAGAAGGTGACAACCTTTTTCTTGCAACATGAAAAGAACAGGCCCTATATCAGTTTGGAGACCATACAGCACATTGCCAGTCTTGTCTGGACAATCCTACCATTCCCACTGTACACTCTGGATTTGGCATATTCTGACTTCTGTATGTTTGGGTAGATGAAACATGAAATGCTGCATGGGCAATATTTTCCTAGCAACAGCCCATCATGGCAGCTGTGAAATAGTGGGTCATTTCCCCTGATGCAGACTTTTATGAGCACTGCATGCAGGCTCGTTTATTGCTGGCAAAAATGTATATCTAGTGGTGGTGAGTACATTGAAAAATACTGCTTTGTAGCTGAGAATTTGCTCTATCAAACAGTGTTATCATGCTCTTTGTATCTGTTGCAGTTTCCATGGAAATAATTAGCATTACTTTCTGAGCAACCTACATATAGTCAGTTCTAAATGTTTGCTTGCATTACGGAACACCTCAGCTTTATTACTACCTAGTACTAAATTCATGGCCTCAGTAAATCTATATTAGCAAAAAAATGGCTTACTGTATGTTTTTGTCATATGTAATTTTATATATCTTATTAACTGATTTATCCATACATATGGGGTCAACATTAGTTAATTGAAATAATTTAGAACTACTAAAAGAGTCAAGTGAAGTCTTTCTCACTCCAATATCTTTGAAATCTTCTAAGAGGCTCAGTTTCTCAGGAACAGACTCCAGATGATCTAAAGCTACTCGAGTACTCTAAAGAAGAAAACACAAGAGAAAACATTGAAAATAAATAAATAATCAACACTGAACTAAACATGCCATTGCTACTATAATTTATAAGCAATTTTTCAAATTACGATAATAGTACATGAAAAGTGTTGTACTTGTTAGCTTAATTACATGCTGGCTTGTACTCATAAGAATGAATAATCAATCTCTTTTCATCTTCTCTCTGCAATGTCTCTCAAAACTGAACCTGAAGCCAATACACAGTCTTAATATAAAATATACACAAGACAGTGACTTCTCTGTTTTACTAGTTATTTAGTTTAATTAGACCAAAAGTGATACTGGAAAAAGATATTAGGATTTATTTCTATTAAATAATCACCTGGATAAATCAGTTTTACAGAAATCTGGGTTCTTTTTATTTATGAGACTAATGGGGCTTCCCACCTTCTAGGAAATATTTTTTATCCTTCTGCTGCATGCTTAGCTAAAAAAGGGCTCTCATCCCATTGTTAAATTCTGAATCAGGAATGGAAGACTCAGTAGGAGAAAAAACAAAGACATACACCTGGCTTATCAAGAAGATGAAGTCTAGAATCTGTCTCTTGTTTCAGATTAGATTTTATTTTTCACACAACATATAATAGAATAAGAATACACTAGAGTCAAAGAACTCAGTTATCACAGCTAAGAAGAACAAGTTTTGCAAGGGCTGGACAAATAGCTTCTTCAAGAACATTATGAAGAGTAAAAAAGGAGTCTACCAAAAGGGAAAAAAATGGATTAACCAGAAAGGATTTTTAAGATTCCAAGAACCACAGGAAGAACTGTCAGAAGTGAAACAGTAAAACAAAGAAGCCTTAGACATTTGGTCAGAACAAGAAAATACAAATGAGAGGGAAAGTAAGGTAGAAATTATCTAGGTATGAACCTAAAACATAATGACTTTTTCCTTTATACTAAAGGAATAATTTAACATCTTAGTTTTTAAAAATACTGTACACGAATTATGTAAGAATGAATATATGAAGATGTGCCTGGAAGATAAGTAAACCATTCCCTGACATGGGCAGCACTGAGAAAACCCAGTGTAAGTCTTTATTTGCAAAGTTGACATCTTATTTTGACAAATAATGAAAAAACGCTGTAGGGACAGGAAAGTGCATACTTGTGCCAATCTCTAGTGAAGAAAGCAGGGCAATTCAAAATCACAAAATTTTAAAGTCAGAACTAATAAAGGTTGTAATAAAACTTGTAACAAGAAAATAGTACACCCTTCTTTCTCACATGAGTTGATTAGTAGATTTTCCATTTCGCTAGCTGTGCTTAGATCAAAATCATATATATTTTTTTAATCTTCATAAGAAATTCTGTATTTTAATATGTGACAATTTGCAATCAGGTGGGTTTTTTTTTTTTGTTTGGTTGGTTGGTTGGTTTTTTTCCCCCAGCTTACAAAACTAACCTAGAGAGATCTTAAGGAGAATAATATTGTGTTTCCTGTAACATACCTGGTTCTTTACTAGAAAGGAATTATAGAACTTTCACCCATGTATTAACAATGAGTATTTAAAACAGTGCAAGCAGGCAGGAGGACTAAATATAGCATTAATGTGTTTTCACAGATTATAGTACATAATTGTTTTTAAAGTTGTAAAATACCTGTTTGTTTTTCTCAAATGTTACTATACCTTTCCACTTCAAAGTAAAATTGCCTAGAGGTATCTATCACTCTGATGTTTTCCTCTTGTAAGTATGACTTCAACAACAGAAAGGAAATATGAAAGATTCATATTTCATGATTCATTTACTTATGTTCATCAAAACATTGGTTTTCAACTCCATTAACTTACGATGAACTGTAATGTTTGCTGCTGCTTCCCCAAGCAGCCCCTGGTACTGGCCTGCATGCACACTTCTAAGGCTGGGAAATACAGGAGAGACAACAGACTTTAAGCAATAAAAATCTCTACCTGCTCTCATAAAACGTAATCTTAACTATAAGTGAATTAAAATACTGATTTCACAGCATTCACCAATTATTCTTGGTATCACACAGATCTGACAGGCAGTCTGCGAAGTTTTTGATTCCAAACAGCAATTCCCCTAGTCCTTCAGAAACACACTTTTTTCTTACAGGGAAACAACAACAAAACTGTAATAGAACTCTGTATCTCTTCTTGGTCCAGCACCAAATTAAACCATAAATAATTTTGCTGAAAGATTTTACTTGTGAACTGTAGGAAAACAAACATTAGGTATGTGATACAGAGTTGAAATAAAATTGTAGGAGATACAGGACACATTTAATGTAGTGGTGCCTCAGGATCCAATGAAATACTTTCAGTTTATAGAATATTCCTTTTCCAACCAGAATATTTTTTTTTAAACCTGTGATCTGCTCATAACATAAAAGGAACTCAGGCCATAAGTGTAAGTCCATGCCTTCAGCCATTCAATATTCAGCTCCTTCTCAAAATTTCTGTGCCAAGACCCAATGTCAACACTGCCACTAAGTGAAGGAGCATGCTCATCATTTGTTCTTTCTAGGTACCTCCTAAATACCCTCTATTTCACATACTACTTGTGAAAAAATTTAGTTGTGCCTCAGCTTGCTCCCTCTAGAAATGTGAAACTATTGTTACTTTATTAATTCTCATCTGGAAAGCAGAAGATCAACCTTTGGGTTATGCGCATACTCGGTGCTTATTTTCTGAGTCTTATCAATAGTGGATAAGGGACAATAAATGCAGCTTGAATTTCTGATAGTTTTTTTTTTGGATTCCTATAAAATAATTGGCTTTGAGCTAGCCACTATTGATCACAATTCAGATCATAAGGAAAAATGATACACAGTTACAATAATTTCCTAATTCAGTGCTTAATAACTATCAGAAAAGATAAATCAACACTGATCATAATTAAAAAGAAAAAAATAAGAAATAAAAAAGCCAGAGAACATAATGATTGCAAATTATTAATTCACAGTGTGCTTGCAACATCTTGCCTACTGAGTACAGCAGTGGGAATTTGTGTCAGAAGAGAAACAGAAATGGAGAAAGCTTAGAGAAAGCAACAAGAATGACCAAAATTATTGAATACTTTTTCCATGCAAGGAATGAATAAATAGAAACATTCAGTAGAGCAGGATTCTTCAGCAAAGAAGGTAGGTACCTGAAGGGAGAAATGACCAATTTGCTTAAAATCACAAATCACATAATGATAGAAACATTTATATCAGTTTTGAAAGAATTTGTGTCCATCCATGACTAAGAAGCCTCACTGACCTTTGAATGGCTGCAATCTGACCAAATGACTGAACAGAAAATAAAATATATGCTGCTCCTGTACATACACGATTCCCTAAGCATTATATTTTGGCACTGTTATACTTCATCTGCGCTTACATTCTAAAATACTTGATGATCTTGAGGGTCTTTTCCAACCTGAGCAATTTGATGATTCTATGATCTGAATAACACACAATAGTGCATTCAGAGGCAGAAATATGTTCCTTTTTCATAAAACTAATGAATAGAACTGTGGCAATAAATGAACAAAAATGGAAAAAGAAAAATCAGTATTTCTTAGGGGAACTTGGATTAAGAACGTTGCAACAAAATAACATGTTGAAAAATGAGAGGGAGAGGTAATGAAACAGTTTTTAGCTGGCCCACTGAAATTTGTCCAGCAATTTAGTGAAACACAGCAATCTCTTCAGCGTGGATTAAATGCCACACTTGTATCATTAATGACTACACTCTATTCTATTAAGAGAGATGGATTTAGCCCCACAAGATAAAATGTAAAAAAGGGATATTGGATGCACCTAACACAGAAGGCAATTAAGCATTGTTAACTTTTTTTCCAAGAAAATGGAAAGCTATATGCCCTAATACATACAAACAATCCTAAAGAAAGCAAATGCATCTGTCTTCTCATTATTTAAAGGGGAACAGAAGGTACTGATGTAGTGCACTGATTGTACTGATAAGAGGAATACCAATTGTATTGAGTGAAGCTGTATTCATGATATTTTATTTAACAGCAGACTCCTCCATAGAGTGCATGCTATTTATCTTCGTGTTTTTAAAATAAAGGCTATTTGCTTTGAAAGGGGGCATTTTATATTCTTAAAGAAGAATAAAACAAATTACTCATTTTCCATGACACCATACAAACACTTTTATATTTAAACTGCATGTGAACAGCTAATCCTCCTCCTATACTGATGCAAATGTCGCACGCTGTCTCAAGAGACAGATCTAAATCAAGATCAGATACACGTATTATTTTTAGTCTCAAAGCTGCAATGCTAAACTCAAATAAATCAAAGCAGATTTGCGCATAGTTCTCGTAAAGTTTAGCTTTATAGTCAATATATTGAAAACACAAGCACAAACCAGAAACCAAACTTCACTGACTTTCATGTTAGTGTTGGTTTCTTTTCTGAGGTAAAAATAAAAATAAACTTCTATTTGTATAACACAGATATTTTAGAAAATTAGATCTGACTTCAGTAACATTTAGCCAATCCCCAAAGAATATCCATAAAAAGATTAACTGCAACTGTAATTTTAACTGACTGTAATGTATTTCATCAGGGAATTACATGCAATTCAGATGAAAGTTGAAGATGACCTATGAAGAATGTTGAAGGTGACCTATGATATCTTATTCTTAAATCAACTTTGCAAACTGAATACCTAAATATCAAGAGTAGGATGTTTCCAGCATGTTTAAAGATATCTTGTGATTTCCTTGTTAATCTACAAAACTGTGTATTGTCAGCTTCCATCTCCAGCAGTATACTGATCATACATCTTATGATCTTTTAATGCAGTGTGGTTTTCTTTAAGAGCTCCTAGATTCATTGTCGACCTCTATATGCCAGAAAAATTTCATTCTAACTGGGACATTCTGTGACCTAGAACATCTTCCATACAGAGGAAAATATATATTTTGTATCATTTTATTACTTTTTAACTATTCCATTGTTTTGGTGATTTCAGCACATTAAGAAATAAATTTACCTTTACAAAGATAAACATAAAACCCAGTTATACAACATGCAAGTTCAACTGGTTTTCATTAAACCACATTGTTTCATTGAGGTTCAAAGTCTTAAGATTTTTTAAGCAAAAACTGCACTTATACTAATCAAAACCAGCATATCTTTGTTAAGAAAGCATTGCAAATGTCAAACTAACTGAACTTTCAATTCAGACTCCAGATGTTTTTGCAGAGGGTCGGCAACATTTTAATTAAGAGAGCTTCATGGATGCTTCCTTTCCCATTCACAGGAACATGGACCATCACTTTTCACACTCATGATCACTCATCATCGCTATGGTAACTACAGGAATTGTTTACATGGAAAAATATTAGGAAAGTATTTCATGAATTTTCAGTTGTTTGATGCATGCTAGCAGCTGGAAATGTGGAGGAGGTAGTGAGTGAAACCTTTTGGCAGGCCAGATCTCTGTGAATCATCAACCAGCATTACCAGGGGTAAACAAAATGTTTCTGAGAATCAATTCCTCATCATTTACTAAGATTTTATCAAGACACCCAGGAATCATTACAGGAAATTAAAAAAAAATATAGCTCAAGAGGCAGTAAGTGTAACGTAATGTTAGTAGGTACACATTCTTAAAATGTAAAAAGGCTTCCTTGCCATTCAAAATGCTAACTCCAATTTTCTGAAGCTTTGCAGGCTAGACATGTTCATTTACATGTAATTTAATTTTTTTGTCACTAACATTATTTCATTAAGCCTTTCTGAATGCATTACAAAAAATTAAATCATGCAGCCCTCACAGGAAAGAAGAAATAGTGTTCTCTCTTACAGCTGAGAAAAAATGAAATACAAAGAGAAGTGTTTTAACCAAATTAGTGTCAGAATAGGAAAAAAAATAGGAATTTGGCTTATAGATTTCCTCATTTTAATCAAAAGCTGAATGACAATGAAAGAATTAAAAAAAACCCCATCAACTATGGTAGCAGAGGCAGTTCTAATTAATGCCTATATTCCTAAGGTTACAATTTGACAGAATATTAAAAAAATTCAAATCTAAAGTGAAGGAATTAGCAGAATATTAGAAACATTCTATTCAACATTCTATAGTCAATCCTAATTTCAATTTGTTTTGTCATATATCAGATGAGAGAATGCATGCTATACCACATATATTTCTATCTTGTCACATAATAAGGATCATATATTCTGCAGAAGAATTCATCATGAAAGATCAACATTTTAAAATAGAGTACACAAGTCTCTCTTTAAAATTATACTTACTTGCATATATATTCACACTATGTTAAAAATATCTTTAGTGATGACCACTGCATATCAACACTCCTTGGTAAACTAAAAGAAATAACTTCCAATATCTAAAAAAATTAGTGTCTTGTAATAAAGATTTTTACTTTCTCTAATAGAAAATCAAGCTTATTTTGTTTTATCAAAATATGGCAAAACTATTCAATATTTTCAATACATAGAAAAAGTTACAGTAATTTCACAATATCAAAAGGAGCTCTCTGTCCAGAGAATCTAAGGGCTATTTTAGGAAGAGTGTTGCCAGCAGGTTAGTCAGAGTAGAAATAGGAATAAAAGAATAGGAATAAATGAAGAGGAATAAAAATGAGAATAGGGATAAGAGTAGGAATAGAAAATTTAGGTTGGAGAAGACTTTCAAGCTCATCAAGTCCGCTGCCAGTCTGACCTCCTGAGTTCCATCACTAAACATTGTCCCTTAGTGTCATGTCCACACATCTCTTAAATAAATGACATGATCTCTCCCCTACACTCAGCACTGATGAGACATATCTAGAGTCCTGAGTCCAGTTCTATAAAAGAGACATGGACATACCATAAGGAGTCCAGCAAAGAGCAAATAACATTGTTTAAGGGACTGGACTGAAGCATTTCGCCTACAAAGAAAGGCTGAGAGAGTTGAGACTGTTCAGCCCAGGAAAGGAAAATCTCAGGAGGGATATCATCAGTGTGTCCAAATATCCACAGGAAGGGTGTAAAGAAGATGGAGTGAGGCTCTTTTCAGTAGTGCCCAGTTACAAGACAAGAACTAATAGGTACAAACTGGAACACCAGAAATTGTCTGACTATCAAGAAGAAATTCTGTACTGTATGGGCAGCTGAGCACTGGCACAGATTGCCAAGAGAAAAGAGTTGAAGAGCTTCCTCCTGGGAGATTTTCAAAAGCCACCTGACCAATGGTTGGGCAAGGTGACCTCCAGAGACCCCTTCCGACCTCAACTGTTTCATGATTCTGTGAAGTATTACATTATTAATATCACCACGGCAGAACATAAAGTCATTAGATCAAGTTGCAAACCACGCACAATAACTATTTATAAGTAAATATGAAACTATTTATAAGTAAATACGAAACAACTCATTCTGATTTCCAGGAACAGAGCAGTTTAATAAAGTTTACAGAATTACCCATATTTTGCAGCGTGGGTCTTTCTTTAAGGAACTTTAGCAATAAATACATACATCAATATTTTAAACATTTGTTTAAAAATATACATTAAGATATTCTGATCATGCTTATATGCAATTTTTGTATTCAGTCTCAACACAAGTATATTCTTTCCAACATCATGCCTTAAATTAATTTAGTAACTCATTTTTTTCAAAATAGTGAAAAACAGTTTTAGTAAAGAGTAACTTTAAAAATAATTATATCAGTTTCTGAAGGAAGAGTGATAAGAAGGTAATGTTAGAAATATACACATACATCTTTAGTTTGTGGAACATATGCAGACTATTTGGAATATGTAAGTTAGAAAAATGTGAATTCCACTATTTTTGATTGCTACTCTAAATTCAAAAACTAGGCAAATGGCGAGAAATAAGTAAAAATGGGAGAGCAATGCAAAAAAAAAAATTAATCATTTTATCAATGTTCTTTAACAGAAAAAAAGATACAAAATGCTAGTGAAGAAAAATTAAAGGTGGTGATTTTAGTGGAAAAAAAAAAGAAAAGAATAAGTAAAACATCAAAGAGCAGGGAGCAGAGGATGGCTAAGTAGTAAGTGGAACAGCCACATCGGAGGAGCAGACAGCAGCAAGGAAGAAGGTAAGGAGAGCATTAGGAGAAAAGATGCACCTGGCTATGAGCAGCAAAAGTTACTTGGTGGGAGTGAGCAGAAGGAACTGGAGACCCTTGGGAAAGTTCTGTACCCCCAGTGAAAGGAAGTGACACACTGGCTCGCTGATGAAAGGAAAGGAAAGGGAGAGGCAGGCAGGATGATGCTGCTCCTCTCCCAGGCATTTGTATAAGATCAAAGAACTGCTGTGTTCTGGGAGGATCAGAAGGCCTTTGATGTAATGGTAGTCTTGGCAAGACACTACAGAAGCAAACCAAGGTCAGAAGTATTAACCCTTAGATTTTAAAAATTACTAAATATTCATGCATGCAAAGTGGGACAGCCATGAAATAATCGCAAGAACAACAGAAAGAAAGAAAAAGAGCCTGAACGTGGACAGTGTCAGGCAGTCATGTAATCTTTCTGCATTGGGCAGTGTCACCCTTTCAATTCTTCATCTAAAATGGGTGAAAAATCAGAAAACTGATGAAACTATGAGCTTGCTACTACAGTAGAAGAATCTAGGAGCTTGCACATTGCTGAGTGTGTGCAAATAGAAATTTGTTTCACTGTTATTCAAAGACTTAATTTCATTAACTTAAAATATGACTTAAATTGAAACATGTAGATGTTCATACTGGAAAGGAAATTTCAGTCAAAAAAACAATCTTGCAGAATACTTACAACATTAATGGAGTTATTCTGAATTTATGACATTATAACAAAAAGCCAAATAACATCCAGAAAAGTCCGATCCAAATAATCTATGCAGGTGATACACTCTCTTTTGAGTTCTCTTCTGAAAACAGCAAGTTTTCTTGCTATCAAAACATATGTAAGGCATGTATTCACTGGTATAACTGGTTGATTTCCAATAAAATTTCTCAGTCTCTACCAAGGTGGAGGGAACTGACAAAGACTGTGACATGGTTCACCAGGCAGCTTACCTCAGTTCATGACAAATTGCTGGCAGAATATACAAGCCTGCCTAATTGTCATGTAAACAAACCATGATTAAGAGACACTTCTGAACAGAATTAATTCACACAGCATTATGTGAAGCATCAGGACTCTCACTTTGAGCATTAACTCCCAACAAATGTGAAATGAACTATACAGAAAAGTATACTACATTAAATTTTATATAACTGGTGCTCAAGTACTGTAATGAAAACCTAAATAGAAAGGTGCAGTGCAAAAATATCATGTGTCTTCAATGGCAATAAAAAAACCCAAATGGCAACCTTTTTCAAAAAATTACATAAAAATTACATTTTGAATCATCAGTAGTCTCATTATGACTGGTCTGAAAATAAATTTAAGAAACTTACCTTTTCTAAGGACATAATTCGTTCCTACAAATAAAGTAGAACATGAAGTTAGAAAACTAAGAATATAAATGAAACATAAGTTGAACAAGAATGAAATGCTGCTTTTATTTTTCATGAAATTGTCACTTATAGAGAAACTGCTTTATCTAACACAACTTCTGACCCATTTATCAAACTATCTCACTTAAAACTCTGCACTGAAGGAAATTAAAAAGCAACTTCCCAGAAAAGAAGAATTTGAACAAAATTTATTTACATCAATATATATTTTTTCAAATATTAGATTTTTAAAAAACAGCTAGATTTTCAATATTGTAGATTTTACTCACACATCCCAGAGTTTGGCTTTCCTTTCTGATCACTTGTGGCTGTAAATCTAGAATGCTTTAGAGTTTGTGCCACAGTAGCATCTATTTTAATTTTCTTTAGTTTTCTTTGAGGTATTTATTTAGAAAAATAAAATATAAATTCCAGAGCATTATTCTGTTACCAGAAATTGCTGAAGAACAACTAACAGCATCTTGTTACTGATTAAATAAAGCCTAATATCAGACAAAAACAAAAGTAAAATGAGTTTGTGTCGGCTTCAGCACAAAATATGTGGAAGATAGAACTTATGTATATTTTAACATCATTTCCTATTGAAAAGTATCTTTGAGAGATATTAAGCTATTAAAATCAAGATAATGCACTCTGTCATTATGTCTTGACTAAATATTGTATTTTAAGGAATTTGAGAATAAATATATTTAAGTGTTTAGTTGAGCTTACCTGACTATTCAGTTGAAAATGTGACCATTAAAACATCACAAGAATCCTTATTTTTTTTTAAATATTACCTTATGAAAGTATAGGAGTTTTTTGGTTTTTTGTTTTGTTTTTTTTTTTTTTTAACTTTCTGGGTGGATTAAGTTAAGAATTCTTACAATTTTTCCTGTTATTTTCCTCCTAACAAGTGATAATTATTATAATGACCTGGATTCATTCCTACGACATCCAAAGACAGACAAAAAATTATGATAAAATATACGAAAAACTAAATATAACTTATTTTGAGATGTCCGTTTCTTCATAAAAATACACTGGACATTGCAAACATTTATTTAAAGATTCTGGGGGGAAAAAAACAACTAATTACTCTACAAAAAACCTGACATTTACAGATCTCAAATTTGTGGTGATAGTAAACAGCTATTCAGGTATAAATGTTTTCAGTTAAGAAGGACTAGTTGAATAATAAAATCTTAGAATAAGTATGGCATAAGTAGGATGATTCAAGTGATGGAATAAATTTTGTTTTCAGAATGACTCGAGGCTGCCAAAATTCTAAAAACTGAGTAAATTCTTAGAATCTCAGCACATTTTCTAAACCAGCATGTAATATATTTGGAAATCTACCACAGATTATTTATGCATTATCAATATATTTATATGTCCAAATTAAGACTATTTTGTTTTCAAATTTTTTATATTTGTGCGTCACTAATTTCAAAGCAAATTAAAATGGCTTGCAATTGTTTTCACAGAGAACATGCATGCATATTGTTGAATACTGCAATCATGCATATTACAATATTTTAAGAAAGCCATAGTTTGTACTATGGAACAACTTACACAAAAAGGAAGGTGAAAACCTTAATATCAGAGGCTTTAACTTCAAATGAGATAATAAAAGAAGTGAGGTTATTTGAAAGTGAGAATATTGAAAATGTTCCAGACTCCTCAGAAGAAAAAAAAGATACATACTATGAATATGAGAGTATGTGTAACAACAGAGTGAGCGTACATGTAATGAGAGCATAGATATTTTCATAGCTAATTATATAAACCCACCCAAATTTGCGTATAGCACAGAAACTCTAATAAAAAATATGAAAACATTTCAAGACTCAAAACCAAGAATACAGTGATGTATTCTTGCATCAGTCTCTGACCTTCTAATCTCTATATCAAAGATAGTATATATTTACATAAAAAACTCAATCCTCACCACATAATACAAGATCATAGTGAGGTTTGTATTGAAATATATAAAGATTCATATCTTCCGCTTTATGAAGTATTATTTTGTCTTTGCCATGCTGAGTTGCAATCCAACATATTCCCTAAGTAGAAGACAACGTGAAAACTGCATGTCCAAGAATCTTCATAAAAGTGTTCCTTTCTCACTGTCAGCTGAGGGCATTGCAGAAGTACTAATTTTACTTCTCTGTATTTGAATGAGAAATATTGGTTATTTTCTGGATCCTTAGGTAACTGTAAACATATTGCTTCCTCAAAAGGAAATCTTCACAAAATGAATTCTATTTGTTTAGAACCTGTTAAGCTTCATTAAAATTGTTTTCAACAAAAGGTAATGCTTGTGTCCCCTTAAAAATGAGTAAATTAAACATACAATGAAAACCACATCTCTAACTCTGGCTAATATTCTAGGTAACTGATGCAGAGACATTGCAAAGAACCTAAAGGTATTCTTGATCATAATTTGCCCACAGCAATGCACTGATTTCTCATAGTTTTCCTCACACCTCTAGCTTTTCTATGACTATGGTCAGTGTTCAAGTAAGAAGAAATAACTCTCTCAGTCATGATAACCTGACTACTTGCAATTGTTTGTCCCCCATAGTATAAATTATAATCTTTCTGCCTACCTGTTTCCTGAACATAGTTTTTACATACAGTCTATTTAGACTGCAAAAAACAAATGCATAAAAAATTTATATACTTCATACAATTCTCTCTCTATAGGTATATATAGATAATAAGATAATAAGATGCTTATTAAGACAGGATCCTAGAAATTGTACACAAAAAGATATCAGCAATCTCCTAGCAAAGAACAAGCTGGTCAGGCCATAATATCTGAGGAATCTTATTCAAGCAGGCTGTAAGCCTCTGGGGCAAGAGTATTATTTATATGCTAGTGGTCATTAATATGTGAAATAATTACCTTCTAGCAGTCTACTTCAATTAAAACTTTCATACATTACCAACTAAACATATGCTTTGCTGAACTGGGACTCAGGGGAAAAAAAACAGCCATGCCATCTGGTCTACAAGAGTGCAAGTTTCAGCTTTAGGAAACGCTACAGTTAAAGGAACTCTCACCTCCACTTCCTATGCTTCATTTACTGAGGTACAATAGCACAGGAATTATAGAATTGAATCATATAATGCTTTGGGCTGGATCTTAAAAAACGTCTAGTTCCAAATGCCTGCCATGAGCCAAGTTGCCACACACTACATCAGGCTGCCCAGAGCTCCATCCAGCCTTTCAAGTATAAGGCATTCACAGCTTCTCTGGGCAGCTGCTCCATCACCTCTCCAACCCAGATAAAAAATTTCCTCTTAATATTGAATCTAATTCTCCTCTTAGTTTTAAACCATTTCCCCTTGCCCTATCACTGTCTGCCTGTGTAAAAAAAATAGCCTCCATCTTTTTTCTATAAGCTCCCTTTAAGTACTGAAAGGCCACAATGAGGTCTCCCCAGAGCCTACACTTCTCCAAGCTAAACAAACTAAACTCCTTCAGCCTTTCTTCATAGAAGATGTGCTCCAGCCCTTTGATCACCTCCTCTCGACTTATTCCAACAGTTCTACATCCTTCTTGTGTTGGGGGTCCCAGAATGTTTAGTTGTGACTGGAGCTGTTTTTTTTTTAAAAAACTATTTGCTAGCAAAGCTGTAAATATTCTACCACTATAAAATTAGAATATAAAAGAATGAAGCATACCAGATTGGAACCATTTTGAAACATATCGATGGTTCTGGACAAATTACTATCTAGAAAAATAATTGATGCTCTTGCTAAGTACTTTGATTGTGAAAGCATGTGCATTTGAAGAATTAAAAACTGCTATGAAGCACTCAAGTACAAATAGAGCAGACAGAGCAGTACAAGTGACACACCTAAACAGAATGGCCAGTTAGTGAAGGGCATAGTTGACAGACCATCAGAAATACACACACGCACACAAGACATTAATTTGATGCAACGTTTCTCCAGTATAACATTACTCCTTATTCAGTTGGAAGGAACATAATTAGAACAATTTGTCAACTGTAGTGCTTCACAGGAAAGTAGATACAGAATTGCTTCACATGAAAGGCGATCGTTTTACATTGATGTAACTAGATATGCACCTGTGTAAACTGCTTGCGCAGACAAGCTCTCAGCCCTGTTGAACTTGAGCTGCCAGAAAGCTAAGCCAAATTTTTTGTTTGAGCAGGAAACAGCTGGATTGGTGTGTTGTGTAATTTTTGGGTCTTGCAATTTGTCTCTTTTTACTGGATCAAGCTGTTTCTACACTAAGCTTTTGATATTTCTAGCCCTCAAAACACATTATATTTATTATATGAGCAGAGTCAGCATACCTTAATTTCATTTTCCTTAACAGTCATTCAGTTTCCTCATACAAATTCTGTTCCCACTAATCTTACAGGATCCTCCTCCACTGATACACTCTTCACTTTGTATATAAGCTTTCTTATACTGGACATTGCTCGCTCTAATTTTTGTTAGCTTTTTTTTCCCCTCTGCATTCTGAACAAAACATGCATTACCCTTATAACGTCCCAAGTCTCACTACTGAGACATTCCAGTTTGGTTTTGCATTCCTAGACATTTTCATTTCAAAGGAGTATATGTTTTCTTTGACTGTAATGCTTTAATACTATTCCAGAGCTGAGGCTAGGCTCTCACTGTGAAAGCACAAATGTAAAGTAAACGTTACAGATACTATACAATGAGAATTTAATATACTGTATCAAGCTCTAGCATATATCAACTAATTTTTTCTTTCTCACAAAAGTAATGGTGAACACTGAATGTTTCAGAGGTTTGAAACACCTCAAATATTTTACTTTCGGTTTTATCTGGAGATACAGAAGAAAGCAACATACCCAGAGAATCTAACTCAACCAATGAAGTAGAATTTAAAGCATTTCTGCAATTCTGTATGTAGAGCTGCACCACAACTATTTCCATGTAGTTTCAGTGAAGCCAATAGTAAGAACAGAACAACTTCAGTATACACTGCGACAGAAAAGAACCATTCTTTTCACAGAAAGACTAGATTTATTAATTGGAGAGTGCTAAGTACTTTAATCTGTTCTCATGTGCAACTTAAATGTG